GCGACGAAAAGAACTGGCGTAAGTAAATCAGATGATTACCCCCTGCATTATAGCTCTCATGAAACGAGACATGAATTTGGCTGCGGATTTATGGTTAACAGGAGAATAAAAGACCTCGTTTCCAGATTCACTCCAGTAGATAAGGGAATTGCTATAATCCGTATAAAAGCGAAGTTCTTCTACATCAGTCTCATTTGCGCCCATGCTCCGACCGAAGATAAAGATGAACAGACCAAAGACATATTTTACGAGCGCCTAGAAACAGCATATGATTGTTGCCCTGGCCATGACATTAAAATTCTGCTAGGAGATTTTAATGCAAAAAATCGGAAGGGAAAATATCTTTGGCCCCACCGTCGGAAAATTCAGCCTCTATTAAGAGACATCAGACAACGGCATGAGGTTGATTGACTTTGCGGCAGCAAAAAATATGGTAGTTAGCAGCATCAGATTCAAGCATCTCGATATACACAAGGCCACTTGGATTTCTCCCGATCGAACAACGAGAAATTAAATTGATCATGTTGTGATAGACGGAAGCCATACATCCAGTGTTTTAGACGTCCGATCGATCCGGGGAGCGAATATCGATTCGGACCATTACCTAGTGGCAGCCAAGGTACGCACTCGTCTATGTAGCAGCAAAGGTGCGATATAATGTATCACGGAAATTTGACGTCGAAAAGCTGCAAACACAACAAATGGCAGAAACCTACTCCGCTGAACTTACCCAATTGCTTGACGAAAGCACCCCTTGTCCCAATAATAACATAGAAGCACAATGGCAGAGAATTGCCCACTCCCTACAAACTGCAGCAAAAGCAACACTTGGGTACCAAAGACCACCATCAAAAAAACCGTGGTACGGTCAGGAGTGTCGTAATGCTATTGATATGAAAAACGCAGCGTATAGGGCAACCCTGCGGACAGTAGCAACACGTAATGCGATGGAGAACTATTGGGAAAAAAGGAGAGAGGAGAAACGTATTTTCAGAAAAAAATAAGAAAGAGAAAGAAAAATGTGAGCTTGAGCAAATCGAGATGTACAGAAAATTCTACCAACAGGTAAAACACCTAACCGAAGACTTTGGTGCAGGCACATCCTCCTGTAGAGATAAAGAAGGAAACCTGGTGACAGATACAGACAGCGTGCTGAGGATTTGGAAGGAGCATTTTGAAAAACTTCTGGTATCAAATAATAACGGTGAAGAAGATACCCCAGAACCAATAATAGATGACGGTATGCACCAGTTAATTAGTACAATTTGGTAAGAATAATGCATGACCAATATAAAGTGCTATCCAGAGTGAATGACTGAAGCCAATGTGAACGACTGAAGCCAATGGCCTGGCAAATCCACCATTGAACAGATTTTCACTCTGCGCCAAATCCTGGAAAAAAAACACACGAAAAACACATCGACACATGCCACCTATTCGTCGACTATAAAGCCGCATTCGACAGCCCTATCCGTTGAGAGGTGTATAAAGCTATGTCTGCGTTTGGCATTCCTGCAAAATGAATTCGGCTATGCAGGATAACTTTAACTGGCACAAGATCAGCAGTTAACGTCGGAAAGGACCTCTCGGAGCCCTTTAATACCGAACGAGGATTCAGACAAGTTGATAGTTTGTCGTGTGACCACTTTAACATCCAGCTGGAAAAGGTCATACGAGAGGCAAAATTGAACATAAATGGCACTCCGTACACCACACAGCATATGTTACTCGCCTACGCCGATGTCGTCGACATAATGGGTCGAACATTGAGAGCCGTAACAGCCACCTTTGAACAAATTGAGAAGGTGTCTGCCAAAGTGGGTCTGGCAGTAAACGGCGAGAAGACCAAGCTGATGGTATCAACGCGCAAGATGTCCAGTAGACTCGGACCAACAGTGGAACTTGAGAACTGCAGCTTCGAGGTAGTCAAAGATTTTATATACCTTGGTACCGCTATAAATAAAACTAATGACATCAGTTTTGAAATTCGGAGAAGGATAGTGTTGGCCAACAGATGCTACTATGGTCTACGTAAGCAGTTCAGAAGCAAGGCCACCTCCCGCCAGACCAAACTCACACACTACAAGACGCTGATACTACCCGTGCTATTATATGGATCTGAAGCATGGGTACTTTCGCAAGCAGACGAGTCAGATCTTGGAGTGTTTGAGAGAAAAATTCTCCGAAAGATCTATGGGCCGATCTGCGTTGACGGTGAATATCGCCGTCGAGTGAACCATGAGTTGTACCAGCTGTTCTCGGACATCGACATTGTTAGACGTATTGAGCTGCAGCGACTATGTTGGCTAGGTCATGTTGTGAGAATGGATGAAGATGCCGCAGCCCAAAGGGCATACAAAAGCGAACCAGCTGATGGTTCACGCAGAAGGGGAAAGGTCACGAATATGATGGAAAGATCAAGTGGAAGACAACATTGCCGAAAATGGTCTTTCAAATTGGAAAAACTGCGCAAAAGACCGACGCGCCTGGAAATCTTTTTTAAGCTCGGCTTACTGAACGAAAGTTCTGTCACAAGCTAGCTAAGTAAGTAAAGGCGTGGATTTATTAAAGAATATTTTTTGAGGGTCTATACGGGCGTGTATTTTTTAAAGAATATTTTTGAGGGTTTATAGGGGCGTGGATTTTTATAAGAATATTTTTTGAGGGGCCTATTAAAGGCGTGGATTTTTTAAAGAATATTTTTTGAGGGCCTATAGGGGCGTGGATTTTTTAAAGAATATTTTTTGAGGGTCTATAGGGGCGTGGATTTTTTAAAGAATATTTTTTGAGGGTCTATAGGGGCGTGGATTTTTTTAAGAATATTTTTTGAGGGTCTATAGGGGCGTGGATTTTTTAAAGGATATTTTTCAGGGACCTCTAGGGGCGTGGATTTTTTAAAGGATATTTTTTGAGGGACCTCTAGGGGCGTGGATTTTTTAAAGGATATTTTTTGAGGGACCTCTAGGGGCGTGGATTTTTTAAAGGATATTTTTTGAGGGTCTATAAGGGCGTGGAATGAGGCGTGGATTTTTTAAAGAATATTTTTTGGAAGGACTATTGAGGCGCGGATTTTTTAAAGAATATTTTTGGAAGGACTATTGAGGCGTGGATTTTTTAAAGAATATTTTTTGGAAGGACTATTGAGGCGTGGATTTTTTAAAGAATATTTTTTGAGGGTCTATAGGGGCGTGGATTTTTTAAAGAATATTTTTTGAGTGTCTATAGGGGCGTGGATTTTTTAAAGAATATTTTTTGGAAGGACTATTGAGGCGTGGATTTTTTAAAGAATATTTGTTAAAGGTCTATAGAGGCGTGGATTTTTTAAAGAATATTTTATTATTGTCTATAGAGGTGAGGATTTTTAGAGAATATTTTTTGAGGGACTTTAGAGGCAAGTACTCTTTAGAGAATATTTTCAGGCGTGGATTTTTCATAGAATGTTTTCATAGAACTTTCAAGCAGCTACCCTGGGCCTTTTTGAAATAGTTTGTGAATGTTTGTTCATATTATGTTCGGAAAATATTCAGTTTCATTACAAATTAAGTTATCAGACATTATAATTATATGTTTTTGATTAGTAAGACTAATTATCTTTGATTACTAAACACTACAATAATTGTTCAATTAAATTGTTTGAAATCTTAATGAGCCAGAGTGTAAATAAAAGGATATTTTTGTTCCAAGGGATGTTTTATTTTGCCGAGAGCCATTGAACGTAACAAAAACAACATCAAAGTTTTGGGTGTAAAAATATTAAAAAAGGTTATTTGAAACTTCGGATATTTTCCCAATAAACTTGAACCTCCAACGATGGCTATAATCGAGCGCTTTTTTGAGGATTTTGTAAACCTACCCTGTTTGCTGCAGAAAACACTGGGCTTTGATTTCCAAGGCTTACCACGTTGCTGGTTGACGAAGTTCTTAATGAAATTATACTTCCTAATGGCTCTGCTCTCCTGTTTATATGCCACCTATTTTGTGGCCAATATAGCCTTAACCGAAATTCTAAGCAGATCTGAGGATTTACCATTAATTCTACGACTCATCGATGATATTTTTCACAATCTCTTTGGAATAGTTAAAAGTTTGGTTTTCTTTTACAACTTAAAATCGAATCGGAAATTATTCGAACGATTAAAGGCAATTTTCCCCACCTCTCTGGCAGATCGTATGGCCTATGATGTAAATGCATATTTTTGGCCGAAGTGGATTACCAACACCGTCTATATGCAATGCTGTGCCATTGCTGTGATAGTCTTTTCACCATTGGCTGTGGCCTTGGTGGAATATTTTGTGGTCCTGCTGAAGAACGGTTTCGCAGATGCTGAATTTGGTTATCACATTTTGTATGGGAATCAGAAGTATATCGTTGATCATCATAATGCATTGGGTTATATTTTCATATATTCGATATTGGTAATGGGAACTCATTACGCTGTTATTTTTAATATTTCTCCCGACATTTGGCTCGTGGCCTATGCCATTCAGCTGTGCATGCATTTCGATTATATTTCAAGGAATTTGGAAGAATATGAACCGCAGGAAGGTGGAGCTAAAAAGGATTTGGAAGTTGTGAGGAAATTGGTGCGGAAACATGAAGTTTTATTGGGGTAAGTAGAAAATAACTTGATAAAGGATTTAAAAAGATCCATGGAACACGGAGGCCAGGATTTTGTAAATAATATTTTTTCCAAGGCGTGGATTTTTTAAAGAAGAATCTTTCCAAGGACCAACAAGGCGTGGATTTTTTAAAGAAGAATTTTTTCAAAGACCAACAAGGCCTGGATTTTTTAAAGAAGAATTCTTCCAAGGACCAACAAGGCGTGGATTTTTTAAAGAGGACTTTTTCCAAGGACCAACAAGGCGTGGATTTTTTAAAGAAAAAAATTTACAAGGACCAACAAGGCGAGGATTTTTTAAAGAAAAAAATTTACAACGACCAACAAGGCGTGGATTTTTTAAAGAAAAAAAATTACAAGGACCAACAAGGCGTGGATTTTTTAAAGAAAAAAAATTCCAAGGACCAACAAGGCGTGGATGTTTAAAGAAGAATTTGTCCAAGGAGTTGATTTTTCACGAAGAATTTGTCCAAGGACCAACAAGCCGTTGATTTTTAACGAAGAATTTGTCCAAGGACCAACAAGGCGTGGATTTTTAAAGAAAAATTTTTCCAAGGACCAACAAGGCGTGGATTTTTAAAGAAAAATTTTTCCAAGGACCAACAAGCCGTTGATTTTTAAAGAAAAATTTTTCCAAGGACCAACAAGCCGTTGATTTTTAAAGACAAAATTTTCCAAGGACCAACAAGCCGTTGATTTTTAAAGAAAAAATTTTCCAAGGACCAACAAGCCGTTGATTTTTAAAGAAAAAAATTTCCACGGACCAACAAGCCGTTGATTTTTAAAGAATATTAAGGAAGACCTAGGATTATTAGGATTAAGATTATTAAGGAAGACCTCTTTTATAATTTGTATAATCGCACTCTATATTTTTTGTATTTCCAGACTCGCCCACGACTTACGACAAAACTTCAGTTTACTCATTCTGGTTATGCTATTCTCAACAGTAGCAACACTATTCGGGGCAGGGATTTACGTTCTTACTCAGGGAGTAAATTCAGACATACTTGGCTATTTGGCATTTTTACCAACAACTGTGGGTCAATATTTTATGGTCTGCTATTATGGACAATTAATTATCAATAAGGTATAATACGAACTCCTATATAACTACGAAAAATAATTTATTTGTATCCTCCTTCTAGAGTTTAAAAATTGCCGAAGCTGCCTATGATCAAGCTTGGTACAATGCTTCTCGAAGCTATAAGAAATCGATAATGGTAATTATGGGTAGAGCTCAACGTCAGTGTGAAATAAATGCTGGCGGATTTCAAACCACCAATTTAAAGGCATTTGAGGGGGTAAGTTTTCGGTATATAGTTTTCGTAGAATAATATTGTTATAACCCTTTTTTTTAGGTTATGCGTATAACATTTCAATTGTTCACTGTGTGGCGTAGCCTTATGGAAAAGAAATGAAAAAAAATCGAATAAATAATTTACGTAGATTTGTATTTTCGGAATGTACAAAAATAAAAATAAAATTGGTCCTTGAAAAAATGATTTTTTAAAAAAAAATCAATCCTCTTTGGTTTGGTCCTAGAAAAAATGAATCTTTAAAAAATCCACGCCTTGTTGGTCCTTGGAAAAATATATACTTACTTATGACAAAACTTTCGTTCCAAAAGCCGAGCTCAAAAAGATTTCCAGGCGCGTCGGTCTCTTGCGGGGTTCCAGTTTGAAAGATCATATTCAGTAATGTTGTTTTCCACTTGATCTTTCCATCTTATTCGTGGCCTTCCCCTTCTGCGTGAATCATCAGCTGGTTCGCTTTTATATGCCTTTTGGGCTGGGGCATCTTCATCCATTCTCACAACATGACCTAGCAAACATAGACGCTGCAGCTCAATACGTATAACAATGCCGATGTCCGAGAATAGCTGGTACAACTCATGGTTCATTCGACGGCTATATTCACCATCAACGCAGATCGGCCCATAGATCTTTCGGAAAAATTTTCCCTCAAACACTCCAAGAGCTGCCTCATCTGCTTCAGATCCATATAACAGCACGGGTAGTATCAGCGTAGAGTGTGAGTTTGGTCTGGCGGGAGGTGGCCTTGCTTTTGAGTTGACCATAGTAGCATCGGTTGGCCATCACTTTCCTTCTCCGAATTTCAAAACTGATGTCATGCGTTTTATTTATGGCGGTACCACGGTATATGAAATCTTTCACTACCTCGAAGCTGTAGTTCTCAAGTTCCACAGTTGGTCCGAGTCTACTGGACGTCTTACGCGTTGATACCATCAGCTTGGTCTTCTCGCCGTTTACTGCCAGACCCACTTTGTCAGACTCCTCAATTGGTTCAAAGGTCCTTTCTGACTTTAACTGCTGACCTTGTGCCACTTAAAGTTATCCTGCATAGTCGTATTAATTTTGCAGGAATACCGAACATAGACATGACTTTAAACACCTCTGAACGGATTGGGCTGTCGTATGCGGCTTTATAATAGACGAATAGGTGGTATGTGTCCATGTGTTTTTCGTGGGTCTTTTCCAGGATTTGGCGCAGAGTGAAAATCTGGTATGAACCCGCATTGGTATGATCCAATAATGTCATTGACCATTGGCTTCAATCGTTCACACAGCACACTGGATAGCACTTTATATATGATGGGAAGAATACTAATTCCTCTATAGTTGCACATATCGCCTTGCCTTCTTATTTGTGCACGGAACACAGGATGCTGAGGTTCCAATCAGTGGGCATGCATTTCTCTAGTTAAATTGTGCTAATCAGCAGGTGCATGCTCCTAGCCAGCATCTGACCACCAGACTTGAATAGTTCGGCTGGTAACCCATCGGCTCCTGCTGCTTTTTTGTTCTTGGGCCGATTAATTGCAATTCTGACCCCATCTTGGCTAGGTGATGTACAATATTTATCGTCGTCTATTATTGGTTCTAGGGAATCTTCTTACCCGTTACTACATGATACCAGAAGCTATGCAATATGTTCCTTTCAGATCCTCAAAACGCTGCCTGAATCTGTCACCAGGTTTCTTTCTTCATCTCTTCAGGAGGATGTGCCTGCGCCAAAGCCTTCGGTTTGGATGATAATTCCGGATATTTGGTTGGTTGGATTCTGTCTGCAACTGTGCATGCATTTCGATTATATTTCAGGAACATTGGAAAATTATAAACCGCGGCAAGACAACGAACAAGAGGATCTGAGAATGTTGGCTGGAGTGGCCAAGAGACATCAAATTGTTTTGTGGTAAGTGGAAAATTAAGTTGTAATCAAAAGAAAATACTGTTTCAACAACATTATCATTTTTGTTTAGCCTCGTCGATGATGTACAGGCAAATTTTAGTTACCTATGATTTTTATTATTGTAGCCTAAAAGTATGCACCACACAGTTTAAATATATTCAATTAAGTCCTGAATAAAAATGATGGCATGTTGTTTCTAAATAAGAATAAAAGTAATTTTTCGGAGCTGATATGTGCCGCGAGTTCACCCATTAGGACTATAAAAAAATTGGTTGAGGCGTCGGGTTAGTTGCACACACTCGGAAAACCGCTCCTACTATAAAAAAGCAAAAAAAAAGAAAACCAAACCCCCCAAACCCCCTAATGTTGACGACCCCCGAATACGTATAAAGGACCACGATCTGCGAATCAGCACTTGGAAGCGCACCTTGTACAGAACAGGCTCAGTTCTCGCTTTGGCGTATGTACTCAAGAAGTACAAAGCCGATATTATTGCCTTACAGGAAATGCTATGGAAAGGGACAGATGATTACACCCTGTATTATAGCTGCCATGAAACGAGACATGAATTTGGCTGCGGATTTATGGTTAACAGGAGAATAAAAGACCTCGTCTCCAGATTCACTCCAATAGATGGGCGAATTGCTGTAATCCGCATAAAAGCGAAGTTTTTCTACATCAGTCTTATTTGCGCCCATGCTTCGACCGAAGCAGAAACACACATATTTTACGGGCGCCTAGAAACAGCATATGATCGTTGCCCTGGCCATGACATTAAAATTCTGCTAGGAGATTTTAATGCAAAAATCGGAAGGGAAAATATATTTGGACCCACCGTCGGAAAATTCAGCCTTCATGAAGAAACATCCGACAACGGCATGTAGTTGATTGACTTCGCGGCAGGTATAAAACATTGTAATTAGCAGCACCAGATTCAAGCATCTCGATATACACAAGGCCACCTGAATTTCTCCTGATCAAGCAACGATAAATAAAAATGATCACGTTGTGATAGACGGAGGGCATTCATCCAATGTTTTAGACGTTCGATCGATCCGAGTAGCGAATATCGATTCGAACCTTATGACAGCCTAGGTTCGCACCCGACTTAATATGGCAGCAAAGGTGCAATCTAACACAACACGAAAACTCGATGTCGAAAAGCTGCAAACACAACAGGTAGCCGAGGCCTACTTCGCTCAACTTGCCCAACTGCTTGACGAAATCACTCCTTGTCCCGATAATAATATAGAAGCATAATGGCAAAGAATTGCCCACTCCCTACAAACTGCAGCAATTGCAACACTTGGGTATCAAAGACCACCATCCAGAAACCCGTGGTACGATCAGGAGTGCCGTAATGCTACTGATGTCAAAAACGCAGCATATAGGACAAACCTGCAGACAGTAGCAAGACGTAATGTAATGGAGAATTGTCGGGAGGAAAGGAGGGAGGAAACAAGTGTTTTCAGAAAAAGAAGAAAAAAAACAAGAAAAATGTGAGCGTGGACAAATCGAGAAGTCCGAAAATTGTACCAACGGGTAAAACACCAAAACGAAGGCTTTCGTGCAGGCACATCCTCCTGTAGAGATGAAGAAAGAAACCTGGTGACAGATACAGATAGCGTGTTGAGGATCTGGAAGAAGCATTTTGAAAAGCTTCTGGTATCAAATAGTGGTGATGAAGTAGATACCTCAGATCCAATAAGAGATGACGGTGTAGAGTGTACACAATCTAGCCAAGATGAGGTCAGAATAGCAATCAATCGGCTGAAGAATAATAAAGCAGCCGGTGCCGATGGGTTACAAGCCGAACTATTCAAGGCTGGTGGTCAGATGCTGGCCAGGAGCATGCACCAGCTGATTAGTACAATTTGGTTAGAGGAATGCATGCCCAATGATTGGAACCTCAGCATCCTGCGTCCCGTGCACAAAAAAGGAGACAAGACGATATGTGCCAACTAGGAAGAAGAACTGAAGAGTCCGATGACGATATGGGCTTTGCGCTCTTCGATTAAACTGGACGACACAATGGTTTGTTTTGTTTTTACTACCATCAACAAAAACAACAACTACGAAGAAGAACCCGAAGAGTCCGATGACGATATGGGCTTTACTCTCTTCGATTAAACTGGACGACACAATGGCTTCATACCTGGCAAATCCACCATTGGCAAAATTTTCACTATGCATCAAATCCTACAAAAGACCCACGAAAAATACATCGACACATTCCAACTATTCGTCGACTACAAAGCCGCATTCGACAGTCCTATCCGTTCAGAGGTGTATAAAGCCATATCTACGTTCGGCATTCTTGCAAAATTAATACGGCTATGCAGGATAACTTTAAGTGGCACAAGGTCAGTAGTTTAAGTCGGAAAGAACATCTCGGAGCCCTTCAATACCGAACGAGTATTCAAACAAGGTGACAGTTTGTTGTGTGATTTTTTAACATTCTGCTGGGAAAGGTTATACGAGACTCAAAGGTGAAGAGAAATTACACTCTGTACACCAAACAACACATGTTACTCGCCTTTGCCGATGACATCGGTATAATAAGTCGAGTATTGCGAGCCGTAACAGCCACCTTTGAAAAAATTGAGAAGGAGTCTGCCATTGTCTGCATTGAGCTGCAGCGACTACGTTGGCTAGGCCATTATGTGAAAATGGATGAAGATGCCCCAGCCGAAAAGGCAGATAAAAGCGAACCAGCTGATGCTTCACGCAGAAGGGGAAGGCCAAGAATACGTTGGAAAGATCAAATAAAAGACAACATTGCCAAAAACGGTTTTTCAAATTGGAAAAACTGCGCAAAATACCGACGCGCCTGGAAATCTTTTCTAAACTCGGCTTAGTAAATAATTTGTATTCCCTAAAAAAATATTCTTTAAAAAATCCACGCCTCTATAGTTTGCTTTACGAAAAAAAAAATATCCTTTTACGTCACCCTAGTTGATCTGCTAGCCATTATAAACTAGTTTATTTCCATTCGAACATCTGCAAATATTCCTCTATACTGCGGTTTGTCCATCATAATTATATATAATTTTATTTATTGACTAAAAGTAATATCTAACGGATATGCTATTGGTTCATTCTATTATAAGGTAAAGTGATTTAAAATTCCAATTTCATTTCATATGAGATAAATATTTCCATTCCAATTTGCCTTGTCCTCAAAAAATGTTAGAAGAAGAAGATGAACGCTACTTTGAAGATCTCGTAAATCTACCCTATGGACTACTTAAAACTTTGGGTTATGATTTCCCCGCTAAGTATCGTCCTCTATGGATGAGAGGACTAATGATTATCTATTTCATCCTCTGTCTAATATTCTGTTCAATGTTCACGTATTTTACATTCGACCTCGCTATTTCGGAAATAGCTGAGGGAGCTCACGATTTACCCTTGCTGTTGCGTTTAATCGATCATATTATTTACAATGTTGTTGGCATTTTGAAAAGTTATTTTTTTCTACGTAATATAAAATCGATGACGGATATATATAAACGATTTCGCGATATTTACCCTACCACTCTCGAAGATCGACGGGCATATCGGGTAAATGACTACCATTGGCCGAAGTGGATAACAACAATACTCTATTGGCAATTAGTTACCCTTTTGATAATTCTATTTTTGCCCATGGGAGAAGCCTTTATCGAATATTTTGGAGCCCTAATAAAAGTCGGTTATGAAAATGCGGAATTTGGTTATTATCGCATGTATGCGGAGACCACCTATGGTATTAGTCATTATAATCCTTTGGGCTATATCATCGTCTATATATTCGATATGATGAATTCTCATTATTCGACAGTTTGGATGATAGTTCCGGATATTTGGGTTGTTGGTTTCTGCCTGCAATTGTGCCAGCATTTCGATTATATTTCAAGGACTTTGGAAAACTATAAACCGCAGCAAGAAAACGAACAAAAAGATCTGAGGGTTTTGGCAGGATTGGTCAAGAAACATCAGATTGTATTGGAGTAAGTAGGCAATTAAAATTAAATAGGCGGCCTATTGTCAAACCTGGTATAATGGCTGTCAACGTTATAAGAAATCATTGTTGACCATTATGCGTCGAGCTCAAAGGCAGAGTGAAATCAATGCTGGTGGTTTTCAAACCACCAATTTAATGGCATTTGAAGCGGTAAGCTGGATGAGATTTTTAGATTTTTCCAAGTTAATTTGTTGTTGGTTTTTTTAAAGGTTATGCGTATGACCTATCAATTGTTTGCCATATGGAGTACTATGATGGGACCAAAATAGACAGAAATTAAATTAATATTATTTTTTTAAATTAAAAATATTAAAATTCTTTAAATTTATTCACATTTAAAATTTATTATATCCAACACCTGTTTATTTTATTATTGTAGCCTAATAGTATGCACCACACATTTTAAATATATTTTATTTATTTATAAATTAAAATAAATGCAAGTTGTTTTCATAGATAACTGTCTAAGTCTGGGAAGAATGAAAATAATCGTTCGAAGAATTTTTGGGTAACTCCATAGCATTATTTTTATGAAAATAATATAAATAAAAAAGCACAACAGTTTTAAAATTTAAATTTTATTATATTGTAGTGAATATTATTAAAATTTAATTGTGCAGTAAAAATGAATAAGCTTGCATCAAAATATCTTCTCCTTCAAATGTTTTTATCGAATACAGCATGTTTCAGTACAGCAAAGATACGATAACTTTCACTCATAACCTAAAAATATAGTCATTTTGTTAAATTTAATAACAATTGATTCGATGCGACAATTTCTTGGATCAGATTTCCCTCAACTGCCCCTTACCTAACAAAATCAACATCTCTCAGTCCTTTAAAAATATTATTTAAAACAATCCGCGCCTCTATAGGCATGGAAAAAATCGTAAATAATTAAAAACAGTTGCTCCTAATTCGGATTTGTAACCACATAAGACATTGGTGCGTATAAATGGTGTCACAACGTATACGATAGGGATGACAGAACAATATACAATATAGAAAGGAGTATACTTGTTGTCATAATGTATACGACAGGGTAGTCAGAGATTTCAAATAAAATTTTTTACTATTTTTTAAGACCCATTGAGGCGTGGATTTTTGAATAAGATTTTGTAAGACCTATAGAAGCGTGATTTTTTTAAATAATATATTTATTTTCAAGACCTATATGCATGTATCAGCGTACTGAGAATCTGGAAGGAGCATTTTGAAAAACTTCTGGTATCAAATAGTACCGGTGAAGAGGATACCCAAGAACCAATAATAGATGACGGTATAGAGTGTATACCACCAAGGTGATGTCCGAATAGCAATCAATCGGCTGAAGAATAATAAAGCAGCAGGTGGCGATGGGTTACCAGCCAAACTATTCAAGACTGGTGGTCAGATGCTGGTAAGGAGCATGTACCAGCTGATTAGTACAATTGGGCTCGAGGAATGCATGCCAAATGATTGGAACCTCAGCATCCTCTGTCCTGTGCAAACGAGACAAGACGATATGTGCCAACTATAGAGGAATAAGTCTCCTTCCCATCGCATATAAAGTGCCATCCAGCGTGCTGTGTGAACGACTGAAGCCAATGGTCAATGACATTATGGGACCATACCAATGTGGCTTCAGACCTGGCAAGTCCAACATTGACCAGATTTTCACTCTGCGCCAAATCCTGGAAAAAACCCACGAAAAACACATCGACACATACCACCTATTCGTTGACTATAAAGACTAAACTGCGAAAAGTCCAAACATATGGTGGTATCAACGCTCAAGACGTACAGCAGACTCGGACCAACTGTGGAACTTGAGAACTAAAGCTTCGAGGTAGTGAACGAATTTATGTACCTCGGTACCGCCATAAATAAAAATTAATGACATCAGTTTTGATATTCGGAGAAAGATAGTGTTGGCCAACAGAGGCTACTATGGTCTGAGCAAACAACTCAAAAGACCACTTCCCGCCAGACTAATCTCACACTCTACAAGACGCTGATACTACCCGTGCTATTATATGGATCTGAAGCATGGGTACTTACGCAAGCAGATGAGGCAGCTCTTGGAGTGTTTGAGAGAACAATTCTCCGAAAGATCTATGAGCCGATCTGCGTTGACGGTGGATATCGCCGTCGAATGAACCATGAGTTGTACCAGCTGTTCTCGGACATCGACATTGTTAGACGTATTGAGCTGCAGCGACTACGTTGGCTAGGTCATGTTGTGAGAATGGATGAAGATGTCCCAGCCCAGAACGCATATACAAGCAAACCAGCTAATGGTTCACGCAGAAGGGAACGGCCAATAATACGTTGGAAAGATCAAGTGGAAGATAACATTGCCGAAAATGGTCTTTCAATTTAAAAAAACTGCGCAAAAGACCGACGCGCCTGGAAATCTTTTCTAAGCTCGGCTTATGGAACGAAAGTTCTGTCACAAGCCAGCTAGGTAAGTAACTATAAAAATATTGTTTAAAAAATCCACGCCTATATAAGCCCTGGAAAAAATGTTGTTTAAAAAATCCACGCCTATATAAGCCCTGGAAAAAATATTGTTTAAAAAATCCACGCCTATATAAGCCCTGGAAAAAATATTGTTTAAAAAATCCACGCCTATATAAGCCCCGGAAAAAATATTGTTTAAAAAATCCACGCCTATATAAGCCCTGGAAAAAATATTGTTTAAAAAATCCACGCCTATATAAGCCCTGGAAAAAATATTGTTTAAAAAATCCACGCCTATATAAGCCCTGGAAAAAATATTGTTTAAAAAGTCCACGCCTATATAAGCCCTGGAAAAAATATTGTTTAAAAAATCCACGCCTATATAAGCCCTGGAAAAAAATATTGTTAAAAAAATCCACGCCTCTGTAGGTCTTGAAAAAATCTGCCTTAAAAACCGATCCACAGAAATTTCCTCTCGTAAAAATTATTTATTCTAAATCTTACCATACGAAATGCCCCCAAGGAGATTGGACTCAATCCATAGGCCGTCAATTTCAGTGATTTTTGAGCCCGAGTTATAATCACCAAAACAGATTTTTTATATGCTGTGGAACCATTGTACCAGGAATGATTATAGGCTGCTGTGGCAATATTTTCACTCTACAAAAAATTATTAAAAAAAATCTTCTTCTTAGACTAAAATTTACTCACAGATGACATCAGTTTCTGGCCATAGTGACAAATCAAATAATACTGGCCAACGGTACAGGGCAGAAAGGCAGCATATTCCAAAAGTTCCCGGCCCACTCCTTGAGTTAGGGTATAAATACCGGCACAACAAATTGTGGCAGCTGTCGAGATTAAAATCAACAGCAATTGGACACCAAATACAGAGTTGATATCGTAACCAATACTAGAGGATGGGGGAGATTAATTTTCTTAAAAAAATGTGACCTTATTTTGCAACTTACTTCAATAGAATCTGATGTTTTCGAGAAAATCCTGCAATAAATTCTAAATCTTTAGACGGATTTTCCAAATCCGGTTGATAGTGTTCCAAAGTCCTGATTAAATAATTGAAATGCATGCAAAGTTGCATGGTGTAGCACAGCAGCCAAATATCTCCACAAATATTTGAAATCACAACAAATTGGGCATGCAGCAGTTCGAGGCTATAGGTGAGTAAATATGCCGCAGGATTGCGATGATCAAAACTATAGGGGATATCATAGAGTTTGTTATAACCAAATTGGGCATCAGCCACCCCACCCAAACGAGCAACGCTGATTATATAGACAATGACACTTTCCATTAGCGGTGAAATGACAATAAATGCTACCGCTCCAATATAGAAATAAATTACGGACAACATCCATTTGGGCCAGAAGAAGGTGTTAACACGATAGTCCACCCTTTCTCGTCCCGATTTCGGATAGATTTCCTTTAACATTTGATTAATGGCGCCTGCATCCAGGAGACGTCTTTGATATGCCAAATATTTCATTGTGGCAAAGAGACCATAGTTGAAACCCGAAAGTAGCCGCAAAAATAGTGTCAAATTGGGTATCCCAGCCAGGGTCATTAAAATGACCTGCTTCGAAATGAAATAGAAACAATAGAGGTGACCAGAAAATACCATCACTGCATACAAACGCATGAGGTAAATTTGCCATTTTGGACGTTGCAGATTTTCGGTAAAATCCCGACCATAAATTTTCATTAGAATATTTGGTAAATGGCAAAAATCTTGAAAATCTTTTTGAAAATTCGCCTCGGATTTTTTTACACAAAGTACAGACATTTTGTCTTCTTTAGGCACGCAACGAAACTATGAAGTAGTTATCGAAGGTCCTCACGTTGAGGACAATTCCACACCTTTCTGACTATTAACGAACTCTACAAAGCTGTTAGAAGGCAACTTATGAATTAATAATAAACAAATCACTTCAGTCGCACCTAATAATTAAATAAATAATAAAAACAATTGCTGTAAATAATTAAAAACAATTGCTTCAAATTCGGATTTTTAACCACAGAGGACATTGGTGCGTATACATGGTGACATAACGTATACGACAGGGGTGGTAGATCTATCTGCTATCTAGAATGGCGTATACTTGTTGTCATAATGTATACGACAGAGTAGTCAGAGACTTTAAATAACATTTTCTTACTACTTTAAAGACCAAAGAAGGCGTGGATTTTTTTAAAAAATATTTTTTGAAGACCCATAGAAGCGTGGATTTAATAAATAATATTTTTTCAAGACCCATAGAAGCGTGGATTTAATAAATAATATTTTTGCAAGACCCACAGAGGCGTGGATTTAATAAATAGTACTTTTTCAAGACTTATAGAGGCGTGGATTTTTTAAATAATATTTTTTCAAGACCCATAGAAGCGTGGATTTAATAAATAATATTTTTTCTTGGTCCTTAAGGACTACTGAAGGCGTGGATTTAATAAATAATATTTTTTCTTGGTCCTTAAGGACTACTGAAGGCGTGGATTTAATAAATAATATTTTTTCAAGACCCATAGAAGCGTGGATTTAATAATTAATATTTATTCAAGACCCATAGAAACGTGGATTTAATAAATAATATTTTTTCAAGACCCATAGAAGCGTGGATTTACTTAATAATATTTTTTCAAGACCCATAGAAGCGTGGATTTACTAAATAATATTTTTTAGAGGCGAGGATTTTTTAAATAATTCCGCTTTTTAACCACAGAGGACATTGGTGCGTATACATGGTGTCATAACGTATCCGACAGTGTTTCAGAGACAGACAGGGTAGTCAGAGATTTTAAATAACATTTTCTTACTACTTTAAAGACCAAAGGAGGGGTGGATTTTTTAAATAATATTTTTTGAAGACCTATAGATGCATGGATTTTTTAAATAATACTTTTTCAAGACCCATAGAGAGGTGGATTTAATAAATAGAACTTTTTCAAGACCCATAGAGGCCTGGCGTGGATTTTTTAATATTTTTTTAAAGGCGACAATTTTTTAATAATATGTTTTGGAAAATATTTAAGGAAAAGAAAGACATTTTCGAAAATTCCGAACAGCTATGTAAACAGATAAACACAAAGTCATAACGACAATTAAAATTAGACCCAATTTACAGTTAATTTAATTTTTTTTTTTCTTCTTCAACAATTTATAGAAATGAAGAAGTTCCGCAAGCATTCCCTGCGTAGCATAAAGGGTGCCTGGCTAATTAAAAAAAATTGAAATTATTCCACAATATTAAAAGAATATGTCTGTCTACAGTAAAAGGCATATTAAATGATTGCTTAAAGAATGAATAGTTGGAATATCATTTTACTTCGATGGGTTAGGGAATGCAAACCAGGACAAATTTGGAACCAATTGAGAGGATTTTTTAAAGAATATTTTTTAAAAGGATTAGCAGATCTTCAGACCTTTTGGATCTGACAGACCTTTAGATGTGGAGAATATATTTCAAGGATTGCCTGTCCTCTAGGCGTGGGTTTTTAAAGAATATTTTTTCCACAATTGCCAGTCCTCTAGGCGTGGATTTTTAAAGAATATTTTTTCAACAATTGCCAGTCCTCTATGCGTGGATTTTTAAAGAATATTTTTTTAAGGATTGCCAGGCGTCTAGGCGTGGATTTTTAAAGAATATTTTTTCAAAGTATTAGCAGACCTCTAGGCGTGGATTTTTAAAGATTATTTTTTCCAAGTATTAGCAGACCTCTAGGCGTGGATTTTTAAAGATTATTTTTTCCAAGTATTAGCAGACCCCTAGGCGTGGATTTTTAAAGATTATTTTTTCCAAGTATTAGCAGACCTCTAGGCGTGGATTTTTAAAGATTATTTTTTCCAAGTATTAGCAGACCTCTAGGCGTGGATTTTTAAAGATTATTTTTTCCAAGTATTAGCAGACCTCTAGGCGTGGATTTTTAAAGAATATTTTTTATATATATCGTATATCGTATTCCCTAAATCATACCACACACACCACCATAATGGACACAAGTATAATGTCTAAGTGGTTATGTACCGATAACCACTAATGAATGACTGAAGAAGACGACCAAAGTGGGAAGACCACAACCGCAAAAAGCAGTTCATAAATTTATTTCATATGATTTGCATACTCTGCTGAATCGAATCTAAGGCAGCCATGGTAGCAGAAAAATACCAGGGCACAGCCAACCACAACAACATTAAGGAATTCCAATTGGAAGAGTGAGAAGGAGAAGAAAAAGATGAAGAGGTACTACAATAAATGAGTGATATCGAAGAAATTACATTACAGATGGAAGTCTATCAACAGTAGCTCGAAATTATAAAGCCACTATAGGGCGTAAAGACAGAAGATGAAGGCAAAGTTGTGGGGATGTGAGACACGTAGGCCCATCAACAATTGTGGGGCGGACAGACAGACATACCGACTTACTTCACAATGAATGAAAGAAAAAGGAACCACTCAATAAAACTTTATATGAACTGTCATAAGCAGGCAGGCACACATGAACCAGATAGAACCTTCGAACAATGGAACAACAGCAGAAGCAGTGTTAAGCATATAAAATTCCTCTAGGGAGTCACAGTCAGAACAACAGCAACAACACTACCGACTTCTTGTAATTGTTGAATCCATTGTTGTTTTAGTTGGTGTCAATGTTAAATTTGTGCTGATGTTTCGGTGTGGGTGGGTGGAAGGGTATGGAGGGGTGTGGTAATTGTTAAATACATCATCATTGTCGTCAGAGGCGACGTCGACATTTTCGTAATCAGCAACATTGCAGAAAGTTATGAGTTCTTCCACTACTGGTAATAAAGATGACGACTGTCTGATGTCTGTTATGGTGAACTATCAGTGAAGAGATATTTGCAATAAGTATGCACATTAAGTTAATAATAGGGTGTAACGAACAAGGCGTAGATTTTTTAAAGACTAGTTTTTCCACAAGCCAACAAGGCGTATAAAGGACCACGATCTGCGAATCTGCAATTGGAATGTGCGCACGCAGTGTTCGCTTTGGCGGATGTACTCAAGAAGTGCAAAGCCAATATTATTGCCTTACAGGAAATGCGATGAAAATGGACTGGTAAGTAAATCAGATGATAACGCCCTGTATTAGAACTGTCATGAAACGAGACATGAATTTGGCTGCGAATTTATGGTTAACAGGAGAATAAAAGACCTCGTCTCCAGATTCACTCCAGTAGATAAGGGAATTGCTATAATCCGTATAAAAGCGAAGTTCTTCTACATCAGTCTCATTTGCGCCCATGCTCCGACCGAAGATAAAGATGAACAGACCAAAGACATATTTTACGAGCGCCTAGAAACAGCCTATGACCGTTGCCCTGGCCATGACATTAAAATTCTGCTAGGAGATTTTAATGCAAAAAATCGGAAGGGAAAATATCTTTGGCCCCACCGTCGGAAAATTCAGCCTCTATGAAGAGACATCAGACAACGGCATGAGGTTGATTGACTTTGCGGCAGCAAAAAATATGGTAGTTAGCAGCATCAGATTCAAGCATCTCGATATACACAAGGCCACTTGGATTTCTCCCGATCGAACAACGAGAAATTAAATTGATCATGTTGTGATAGACGGAAGGCATACATCCAGTGTTTTAGACGTCCGATCGATCCGGGGAGCGAATATCGATTCGGACCATTACCTAGTGGCAGCCAAGGTACGCACTCGTCTATGTAGCAGCAAAGGTGCGATATAACGTATCACGGAAATTTGACGTCGAAAAGCTGCAAACACAAGAAATAGCAGAAACCTACTCCGCTGAACTTACCCAACTGCTTGACGAAAGCACCCCTTGTCCCAATAATAACATAGAAGCACAATGGCAGAGAATTGTCCACTCCCTACAAACTGCAGCAAAAGCAACACTTGGGTACCAAAGACCACCATCAAAAAAACCGTGGTACGATCAGGAGTGTCGTAATGCTATTGATATGAAAAACGCAGCGTATAGGGCAACCCTGCGGACAGTAGCAACACGTAATGCGATGGAGAACTATCGGGAAAAAAAGGAGAGAGGAGAAACGTATTTTCAGAAAAAAATAAGAAAGAGAAAGAAAAATGTGAGCTTGAGCAAATCGAGATGTACAGAAGTCAGATTAATGTCCGAAAATTCTACCAACGGGTAAAACACCTAACCGAAGACTTTGGTGCAGGCACATCCTCCTGTAGAGATAAAGAAGGAAACCTGGTGACAGATACAGACAGCGTGCTGAGGATTTGGAAGGAGCATTTTGAAAAACTTCTGGTATCAAATAATAACGGCGAAGAAGATACCCCAGAACCAATAATAGATGACGGTATGCACCAGTTAATTAGTACAATTTGGTAAGAATAATGCATGACCAATGATTGGAACTTCAGCATCCTGTGTCCCGTGCACAAAAAAGGAGACAAGACGATATGTGCCAACTATAGAGGAATAAGTCTTCTTCCCATCACATATAAAGTGCTATCCAGAGTGAATGACTGAAGCCAATGTGAACGACTGAAGCCAATGGCCTGGCAAATCCACCATTGAAGAGATTTTAACTCTGCGCCAAATCCTGGAAAAAAACCCACGAAAAACACATCAACACATTCCACCTATTCGTCGACTATAAAGCCTCATTCGACAACCCTATCCGTTAAGAGGTGTATAAAGCCATGTCTGCGTTTGGCATTCCTGCAAAATTAATTCGGCTATGCAGGATAAGATCAGCAGTTAACGTCGGAAAGGACCTCTCG